CTGCGCCAGCATTTGGCTCATAATTCTTTGCGTCTGCTCTCACTGGTCAGCCACCCGGCCAGCCTGTCGGCCAGGTCAGCCGCCTGCCTGCCTGCCTGCCTATGTGTGCCGTTAGATAAAGCCACGCACAGACAACGATAGCAACAACAGCAACAACAACAATAGCTGCAACTGTAATAGCAGCAACAACAACAACGATTGTTGTATTCCATGCCTGCTGGCTTTCAAGTTCAGACAAATTTTGTTCATTACAGCAAATGCTCGAAATTGTTAACACATGGCGTTTAAGAATTTAAAAGCTTTAGAGCTTCAATGCGCTCGTAAGCACACAGACAATTGTTCTACATGGATGTGAATGTCTATACTCTTTCACTATAAAGAGTCGCTTTTAATGAGACTATGCAGAGCTAGACTTGTTTTTATAAAATGCATATATCTCTTTATATACTTAAGTACTTGTATGCTGCTTTGGGGGTTTCTAATATTTTTAGCATTGTTGGTTGTGCAGGTTGCTCGACTTCAGACCGAGTTCACCCCGAGGCCGGATTACAAACGCGTAGAAGGATCTGTTTTTAAGAAGTGCAGCAGAGTCTCTATAGTGTTCAAGCATTCTTATACTGTGATGCACCTTTCCATTAGAAACCCTATCCCTATTAGATTCCCTATCTTCTTAAAGGTTGGAAGTATTTTCGGACTTTTTGGTTCTTCGAAAAAGCCAAACAAATAATCAATCAAGCAGATAAGAACTTAGCTTTTCCAATTTCTTTGGAACGGCTTATGATTTTGAAAAACACACTCTTTTAAATACTCTATGCATCTATATATAATTAGCTGCACTAGACATCTCTAAAAAGCACCAGTTCCTTGATGAATTCGTTCCATTGACTACTTGCATATATCTTCCCTACTATATGTCTATAGAGAGCTGCCTGAACTTCGACATTAAAGTTTAAGCTGCCACAATGCGTGGCATGGATACTTTAGTTAAACTATTTAGCATTTAAAGCACAGGCTCGAATAGAATTGAGTATATACATATATATGAATTAATGTCGCGCAAGCACGACAAACACACACACACACACACACTTCCTTTCACACAACTGGGACACACATATAAGGAGTCGCCTGGCAGGCGGGCCGAACGAACGAACCAACGAACCACTTGGTTTTTCGACTGTCACTGACAGCTCGCAGCCCTTTTTGTTGTAGCATAGCACTGTCCTTGTTGTTGCTGCTGGCGTTGTTGGTGTTGTTGGTGTTGCCGTTGGGGGCGTCATAAATTTTTGAAGGATTTCGGCGCTGAACTTGTCAAAATCAGACAACGACGCACGAGCAGCCGAAAGCGCGCCGGCTCTGGCTTTACTGTTTACTGTTATTTTTTGTTGTTGTTGTGGCTGTTATTGTTGTTGTTGGTGGTGCTCTGGGGCGCTGAGCAGTGGTTGTTATTGATCCACATTGAACCAAGCAGCGGCTGTCAGTTGCAGGCCAGGAATTCAGGCATTCAAACACTCGGTCGGGTCAGGCCAGCGTTTGCTTCTTTTTGCATACATATGTACATATCTATAAGTGTCTATGAATGTACATACATATGTATGTGTGTATGTAAATGCCAAGTTGATTTTAACAAGGTCATTGGCTTGCATGTATGTATGTATGTGTACTTGTATGTATGTCTGTCTGTAAGTTGCACACTCACGCACACAAGCATTGATCATCAATCAAAGTTTTTCGGGTCTTGAGAAAGCTTTTTGGTCTGGCCTTTAAGTGTATTTACTTGTTCGATTTTTCGCTACAGTTACAGACAAGCGACCAAACAAAACAAAACAAGACAAAACACAACAAAACCAAACCAAAGAAAACAGAAGAACAAAAGGTCGCTCTGCCCAATTCCCACATTACTTATGTACAAGTACAAATTGTGGTAATTTTCAAGATCTCTCTTTTTTTCCGTAAAGGTTTCTTTAAAAGCTAATGCACACACACACACACATGCCAGCAATTTCCTCATTTCTAAAAGCGAGCGTCGCGTCGCGTTGTTTGTAGCTGCTGCTGCTGCTTGCCACCAACACTAAAATTAGCATAACAACTTTATAGTTTAACTGCCCGACTGCCTGCCTGCCTGCCTGGTTGGTTGGTTAGTTGGTTGCCTGCCTGCCTGCCTGCCTGCCTTGCTGGCCTACTCGAGCTGCCACCAGTCTGGGTCGCTGGCAGTATCTATAGGTTTGTATCTTGCATGTGCATACGCCCGCCAACACCAAAAAGAGTCACATCCAGTCAACCCGGGGCTGGTTGACAAAAAGCGCAGCTTTTAACCTACAAACATTTTTGCATTGAGCGAGCCAACTTGCTGCCTCACTGGCCAACTAGTTGACTGCTCCAGCTAACAGCAACTAATCTTTTGTATGTATCTATGGGATACATTTTGTCATTCTTTTGTTGCTGTTGCTGTTGTTGTGGAGCAGCGCAGAAGGAAAAGTCCACATCAGAGCTGACAATAGCTCCAGTTGCAGGGGAACCACACTTTGTCAGCTGCACTTGAGGCGCAGGTGGCTTGTGGCTCAGCAAAGCTGCAGCTTCGGAATTTGATTGAGCAGCTGCTCTGAAAAGGCAAAAGGCCTGAATGCCAACAGATATGATTTTTACCATTTCCTGTCACAGCATTCATAGATAGCCAGATCTTCTCTCTGTTTTGTCCCTCGATAGTAAGCAGCCGCTGTCCTTTATTGCCAGAAAAGCAAAAACAATTTCATGCTTTGTTTCGTTTTTAGAGCATTAATCATTTAATTGCATATCTTTGTCTTTCAGTCTTTTTATTGCTCTTAACTGATTTAATTGTCATTATTTATGTCCGTTGCTGGCTTTGAATTTTTTCTACACATTTTTCAAATATTTCAAGCAAGTCTTTTTTTGTATTAAATATTTTGAATAAATTGTATATTCATTTTTTTGTTTGTGCACAATTTATTTGTGTATATGAATGTTAATACATCTTTAATAAAACTTTTTATGTTTTTATTGTCTTCTACTATAGAAATTTAAATTTATTTAATTATAAATGAAATATATTTGAATTGGCAAAAATATTGCAATTCCTTAACTATATTGGACGATAAGGGAAACTTTGTGTATTAAACCAGTTTTGAGATTTTATTTTTTTTTACATTTGATGTCAATTTGTTTTCCGTTCTGTCATGCTGCTTATTTTCATATCTGTCCAATTTGATTTCCCTGTACTTATCACCTGAAACACTTGACATTTGCAACCATATGCCCCCGCTTCCCTCCCCCTCCCCACATTCAGTCAACAGCCAACAGCAAATGTCAAACGTCAAGTGCGGACTCTCCTCACACATGCTTGGCTCTGAATTGGCGTCAGTCTGTACGTCAGTGAGTCAATTGCTCATTTAGTGTCAGTACAATGCCAAAAGCTGCGTCCCACAGATTTTTCCAAGCCGATAACAACAGCAACAGCAAATCTTGAGTTCGGCTGTGAATGCGAAGAAAAACTCTCATACAAAAGTGCCATCATTCTTGGCTGGCACAAAAATCTTGTCAACTACTCTGCGGCTGCCTCTTCCTTGCCACCATCATCAGCGTCATCATCGTCGCCATCGTCTCCATCGCTGCCATCGTTTGGGATCGTTTGGCATCGTTGCTGTTGCTGTTCCCGGCTCCGCTCGAAAAATTATGCAGTGTGAAACGTTGCGGTGCGCTGCGACGCCACTTGAGTATAAAAATGATAAAAATCTCACAAAACAAAACAAAACAAAACAAAAAACCAGCCACAAAACACAAAAACAACAAAAATAACAACAAAAAACAAAAATAACTGGCAAGTAGTAATCACAGCATTGGGACTGAGCGGCGGCTCAACCTCAAGCTGTAGCTCACAGAGTCGGTCGTCAAGCTCTAGAGTTTCTTCTTCCTTCAGATTTTGTAAAGCGCAGAACTGTTGTTCAAGCAGCAGCAGCAGCAGAAGAAGAAGCTGCACAGCTCTAACAACAACACTAACACCATTAACAACAACAAAATGCCGTGTTGAACTTTAAAAATATTTGTGATTGTTGTTACTTTTGCTGCTGCTGCTGCTGTTGTTGTTGTTGTTGCTGCTGCTTCTACCGTTGCACACAAACCTGTTCACAATTGCGGCGTTAATTTTTTTTACAAAACTGTACACACACACACATACTCAGAGAGATTAACTGATAATATTAAAAATTGCTTTTTTAACTTGTCACTCGCCCGAACGCCGACTCCGACGCCGACGACGACGTTGGCAGCGCTGCCAGCTGCTGCTTTTGGCGCTTAATTAATATGCAAAAAACGTTGGATGAAAAAAAAAAAAAACAAAACGAAAAAACTTCATATATACTCGTATATGTATATGTATATCCACATAATGCCATGCGGCAGCAAAGTAATCACAAGGTCAGGTTTTTGGGCTATTGGCGCTTGTTGTTGTTGTTGTAGTTGTTGGCGTCTTCAATTTACGCTGATCTTTGCTTCATACGTTTTGGCAGCGCGACGTGCTTGGAAATATATACGAGTATATGCATAATACTTTATTTTTATTTTTGGTCATTTGTTCGCTGGGAAACGGACCAAAGAGTCGCCCGAGCTGGTTTTGGTGTTTGGCTTCACATTACGATTGTCGAATCGGGATTAATACAACATATACCAACATGTATCGAACTATACTAATTGACCTACTTACTACTACTAGACAAGTGCTTCAAAACTATTTGCTTTGCTAAAAGTGTCAAAATGATCGAAGCAGCAGCCATTTATAGTTTTCAAACAATTCCATATACTTATAACATGTCGAAGCCAGATATGAATGGGTATTGGCATTATTAGCTTCCTTGGAACGCACAAGAGTGCTGGACAGATGTGCAGACGTTTTTATAAAAGTATAGCCAGGCCTAAGCTAAATACTTAGACTAGTCGTTAACTTAACTTGCTGATCTAAACATTTCTCTACTCCTTTTGTATTGCAGTATGACGATGGCCTACATGGCTATGGCATGGACTCGGGTGCTGCTGCGGCCGCCATGTATGACCCACACGTTGGTCATCGGCCGCCCGGTCTGCAAGGTCTGCCCTCGCATCATTCACCACACATGACGCACGCCGCGGCAGCGGCCACAGTTGGCATGCACGGCTACCATTCGGGGGCCGGGGCGCACGGTACACCTAGTCATGTATCACCGGTTGCTAATCACCTAATGGGCGCAATACCCGAAGTACACAAACGTGATAAGGATGCGATTTATGAGTAAGTACTCCTAGATATCATTAACTTATATTCAAGACGTCTAAAATCATGGCATAATAGATAAATAATGGTCAAGCATTTGGTGAATCATACTAATTGTAGTTATTCGATCGACAACAGAATAATGTTTGTTATGGAAAATATATTCTAGTGATAGTCCATGTGATTAGATTCGAGGCTAATTCATTCAATTCCAATGCACTGTTTGTCTTGGTATAAATCTTAATTGAGCATTGATCAATTGTTAATTCAAAATACTCTTCAAGGCCCTCTCTCTATTAAGCAACAATTTTCTTTTAAAATTGCAGGTTCACTAAATAATCCAGAGTCCCTTGTAGGGTTTCACTTAGCCTCGCTAAGCAACAATTCTTTTTCCTAAGCTACAGTTTCATTTGATAATCCAGAGTCCCTACAAGACTCTCTCCCTATCTAAAAAATCTTCATTAAACTTCAACAATCAACAATTCTTCTAAAGCTAGACTCTCTTCCTATCTAAAATATATTCATCAAACTTCGTCAGTCAACAATTCTTCTCAAGCTACAGCTTCAATTGTTAATCCAAAATAGTCTTTAAAGCTTTCCCTCTATTAAGCAACAATTCTTCTTCTCAAGCTACGCTTTCAATTGGTAATCCAGAGACCCTCCTAGACTCGCTCTCTCTATCTGCAAATCTTCATTCAACTTTGCCAATCAACAATTCTTCTCAATCAACAGCTTCAATTGTTAATCCAAAATTGTCTTTAAAGCTTTCTCTCTATTAAGCACCAGTTCTTCTTCTCAAGCTACAGATAATAATCCAGAGTCCTTCCTAGACTCTCTCTCTCTATCTGCAAATCTTCATTCAACTTTGCCAATCAACCATTCTTCTCAAGCTACAGCTTCTATTGATATTCCAAAATCCTTGTAATACTCAACCTATCCCGCTCCCACACATCAACCTGCTAAGCATATTGATTAATACTTAATGTTGGGGCCTGCCCAACTGGCAACTGCGTCACCTGTTGCCGCACGTTCTCACCTTCACCTTCCCCTGGGGTAAAAATATAAATATACGATTATGGATAAGTAGTATGTGCAAGGAAGACATCCATCGAAGCGAGGGAGTAACATAAATTTAACGCACGCGCGCCTGCGCTTCAGTCTTTGGTCCTTTCACTGCCGGATCGCTTCTTCTGCTTCGGTATCTGGTTCTCTTTCGGTTTTTTGGTTTCGGCCGAAGTGGGCGTTTTGCACAAATACAAAATTATGGGTTCCCAACAAGCGTTCGGCCCGGCTTGGCCCGGCCCGAAAATTTCTCTTTCAATTTAGTGTGTCCTGGCATGTCCACGGCAGGGCTCTGACAGCCGAGGGGTGTGCCGCGTGTTTAGTGACGGACGTGCTTAGGCATTAGGGAGCCGTCAAACAGTTGTTGTGGTTGTTGTTGTTGCGGTTGCGGTTGCTGGTGTTAATTTGGCAAAATTGTGGCTGTGTGGCTGCGGCTTTTTCTAAGTTGGCTGCGCATGCGTCGCAGTCGAAATGATCTCCTGGGCCGGTTGTGTCATTGCGTGTTTGGATTCCAATCCAGGGGCCGGAACTGCCAATTTTCTTGTGTTGCAACTGCTGGGGCAGCAGCTGCCTGAATGTTGTTTGTCTTGTGGCTTCGCTTTTGTTTTTTTTTTTTTTTGCTCGATTCGATGTTTGCATTTAATAAGCAAATATTTTATTTGCCTCACTTTTTTGTTTGTCTCTTGCGCCTCTGCTGGTGTGCTGTGCAATTTTATGAATGACTGCCTGCCACGTTTCGTCGCCACATATTGAGGCTGCCAATCAATCAGCTGTTTGGCCAACGTCGGGCTTGGGAAAAGACCCATCGTCATCGTCATCATCATCATCATTATTATCGTTATCTTATGACGACTTCATTAGCACACTCGGCGCTGCACATTGTTTCACCTGCAACTCGAACTGTGCGACCTGTAAATAAAATTTCAAAACGCTTATTTGTACAATTGACACCTTCGAGCAACAACATGCACACAAGGCTCGGCAATTCCAAATGGAAAATGGGAAAAAAATATGCTACAATAAAGTGAACATGCGCATTTTGAAGAGTTTTTCAAAAATATACACGAAAAAAGAGCGCTCTTAACACCTTCTGAAGTGCATGGCAACAGCAACAACAATAACAACTTTCAACTTCAGCTGCTGCCGCTGCCGCTGCCGCTTTGCGACCTGTCGCCTCTGCCTTGTAGAGCTGCCAACAAATGCCAAGTCATGGCAAATGAGTGTACACTTTTTTTGTGCACTCTGCACTGTCCACTAAGGCAGTCAGGCAGAGACGGAGGCAGACAGCCAGCCAGCCAGTCGTCCGTTGCTGCCGCTGTCCTTGCGACGCACTCAGCTGGAAAACGCACGGGGCTTGGACAGCGGACTCGGCCCTTGGCATTAGCGATGACGAGCTACACTCTGCAAAAAACACACTCCCAAATACAAATATTCGACTGTTCCGCCAATAAAAAAAAGAAATTAGTCTAGTGTGATTAGATTTAATATAAGAAGTAACTATTTACTACTAGTAGCATGTGCTTAAGTAAAGAAGGAGGAAGTTTCCTTTCGTGGCTTAAGTGAACACGAGGAGATAGGTGTGGAAAATTAAAACCCCAAAGGGGGGAAAAGTTTTAGGAAAAGTCAATATTTTTCAACCAATAGACTTCAATTTGATTTGTAAGCTTCCTAGAGCTTACTTAATGCAATTTAAGCTTAATTCATTTTTTTTTTTAAATTTGTATATGTGTACTGATATATTAGAGTGCTTGTAGGGCACTTGGGGAAACTAAAAAGCGCAAGTTATGATGAGTGTAAGAGCTTTCTTAAATAGTAAAGAATAGCATTAACTTGATAAATAAAATGGAGGATTTCAAAACACATACTCGTAAATTTGGCTGAGTGTATTTGGAGACATGGTGCTGTTGCTTATTAATAGTTGTTAAGCGCAAGGCTACACCCTCTAGTTTTGACCGCTCGTTCTAATGGCCAAATGAAGTGCTGACCAACAAGCAAGGCAGGACGGAACGGACTCTCTCCCTCATCGCAGTATATATATATATATGTATATATATGTGTGTGTCTGCCTAATTTTGTTCAGGTGCAATTTGTGCTTAGAGCGTGAAGAGTGTGAGGAGCAGTTGCCCTTTTTGTGTACGAGCATATCCGAACAATGGCAGCCAGAGAATAATAATAATAAAGGAGGAAAAAATGTGGAAATCATGCAGCTAGCTGTGTTAGTCATTGTTGTTGTTGAACTAATCCGTCAAAATGTAGGGCCACATTTTTGTTGTTCTGCTGCGATGGATTACGAGTATGCACAAAAAGGTCAGCACCTGGTCGCTTGGTCGCTTGGTCGGTCGGCCATTTGCATGCCGGACAGGAAATAGAGAAAAGAAAAACCAAAAGATATACTACTTGTACATACTATATTCCCTTTCTCATTTCATTCTCTTTGCAGACATCCACTATTCCCGCTCTTGGCGCTCATATTCGAGAAATGCGAATTGGCCACATGTACGCCGCGTGAGCCGGGCGTGCAAGGTGGCGATGTTTGTTCGTCAGAATCGTTTAATGAGGATATTGCAATGTTCAGTAAACAGGTAAGAGAATACGTTCCAAAATATATATATTTATTATTTAGCTATTTAGAGCTTATCTAAGTGGAGCGCTCTTTTGCAAGGCTATCGATTGTTTCAGACGCTCTTAGACGGACAATACTTGGTTACATCCGAATCTGAGCAGATTGACTGTTGTTAGGGATAAGCGAACTTCCTATAGTACAGTTTACACTCTAATGGAGATCGTTTGCATATGCATATGCGTATCGCATCTAAGTCAAGTGTTTTTTGGGCTCATCAAGTGGTTCGGTTGTTAGTGGTTCTTGTTGTTGTTTTTTTTTTGGTAATTGGAGCTGATTTGCCCAACACATGTGGCACATGCGGCATAAAATACTTGAAAGTGAAATGACGCCCTCAAGCTGAAGAGCAGATCGCCGACACACGATCGAGCGAACTTACTTAGCAGACGAGCTGCTAAATGATCGGATTACGTTGCAGACCAACTATGGGTTGGTGGCCTGCACTTAATTACAATTTCTGCTGCCGATTTAGGGAGCGAACGAAAACAATAACAATGTGTTGTCGCCATATGTCACAAATATGGGTGGCGTCTTGGCGACAATTGAGCAAAGACAACAACTACAACGACACTTCCTTTTCTGCTTGCCCAGCTCTTCATAAAACAAAGCCACATGATGGCAGCTAACCGAATATTATTTGCCACATTCCCCCCACTCCCCCTCTCTCTCTCTCTCACTCTGACATTTAAATTTAATTTACGATGTTTTAACATACAAATTATAATGTTGCAAATGCAACGCGTTGCTGCCTGTAGTGTCTCTGCTCCACATCCTGTGCTCCAAAGTCTGTCTGACGCGCTGGCTGTCGCCTCACGCTGCTATTTTTATGAACGAGCGCCAAGCGATCACATTAAAAGACACACCACCATCCATCCCTGCAGCCAGCACCACCGCCAGCACCACCGCCATCGCCACCTCGTCACAGAGTTGGGAGCACAACTTATGGCTCCATCTAGAAATGTTCATGACAGCGACATTTTTGGCGCGCCAAAAAGCAACAACAACTGCAAAGGTTGCCCCTGCCGCCCACTTTTTGTAGCTTTTTTCAAGTTTTGTGGCGAGTTTTTGGTCCGAGCTGAGCAGAAACAGTTGAAATTATAAAAATGATGTTTTTATTTATGGTCCATTTGGAATTTTGACAGGCCTGCCATGGGTAATAAAACCAACAACAACAACAACAGCAACAGCAACAACGACAAGCATTTATCAAGATGCGTTTGCGTCCCGAGTCCGAGCCCGAGCTCCTCTCTGAGGGCCGTGTTCCTTGGCATGTGTTGCGTTGCATGCCTGCTTCACGATGTTTTGTCTTGTTTCGGCGAGATTTTGATGAACTTTTGTCAAATTGACAATGAAATGCCAATAAAGCGGGCAACACTTGGTAGCTAAAAAGCAATTACATAAAGAATTTATTCGGTGATCCCACCATGTTCAAATGCAAATAGGAACGCTATTTGACATTATCTAAGCGCATTTCTCAAAATCTGTGGTGCCAGTTTTGGGAACTAATTCAAAAATGCCGCTGCTGCTCTCGTTAGCTGCAAATCGATGAAACACTTCATGGTCTCTATATGTATGTATATATATATATATACATACTTGTATAATGTAAATCTATTAGGCATAATATCGTCATAGATCAAGCACTATAGCTTCTGCTTGCATTTTCATGGCGCAGGCCAACAAATTACTGCCACGTTTATTGAAGGTCCGATGCCAGCAACAGGCACAGGCACAGGCAGCCGTCCTAAAACCGTCGTCGTCCTCAACGTCTTTGACTTTTTGACAAAAATAACTCAAAAATGTCATTCGCCCATCGAATTTTAACAAACGAGCAGCAGAGTGCAGAGCAACAGAAACTACTTGGGTGCTAAAAATACGTTTGTGTTTTTCATTTTTTTACGCCGCTCTACAGCTGCCACATCGTCGCTGTTGTCCCACTGCTGTGATGCGTTTTATATAGATAGATCGCATAGATATATATCATGTGTAAACACATATACCAATGTCTGTGTGTACATATGCACATACTCGTATAAAATGGAACTCACTTTATTTTGACTGAGAAAACTGCGCCCCACCAACGCGACTTTGCTGCTGCCTGCATCCAAAGATCATGTTGTTGTCGTTGTCGTCGTCGTCGTCGTCGTAGTCATCGGGCATATAGTTAGGAGACTTTTGGTGTTGGCGCTGCTAATGATGCAGCTAAGGAAACGCTTTATAATTTCTCTTTAAAAGCAGAAACATGTGATAAAAAGAAGAAATGAGAAGAAAAAACCCAGCACAACCAAATCGACGGAAAAAATAAAAATACATAAATATAAGCAACAAAAGCTGAAGATGTTGTTGCTCCCAACAGCAGCAGCAACAGCAACAACAGCAACAGCAACAATGTGGTCGTCAATGTGAACATTGTCGTTGTTGTGCTGATGATTTCTCCCCATACGAAAATTGCTTAATGTGGTGCAGTCTTTGTCTTTGTGTTTGCCACAGAGAGACAGGCCGACAGTTCGACAGATCCAAGACAGACTGGGGACAGACAAAGAACGCGCATCCCAGCGCCCCATGTCCCATGCCCCATGCCTCATGCCGACTGCCGAAATAATTTTTATGATTTCATTTTAAGTAATTTTTAATGAAAATCAGCCACAGTCCCTGCCAAAGCAGCAGCATCAGCAACAACAACGAGAACAACAACGTAAACAGCAGCTGACATTGGAGCAAATTAACAACCCAACTGGTCCCATTGTAACTCATTTGTTTGTGGCTTGACAACTTTGGCGTTTTGGCTAATAGCCTCTACATGCGTGCAATGAGTTGATTTTTCATTTGTTGTTCTTTTTTTTTTTTTCTTCTCTTGCCTTTTGCCATTGGCATTATTAAGTGCAATGTGCAATATGTGTACTTGATTCTAGTTTTGTGGACTCGAGTGTACAGGGGGCCTGTCTGTCTATCCAGTCCGCCAGTCGCAGTCAGTCAGTCAGTCAGCCAGTCTGTCTGTCTGTCTCTGACTTGCTCCCTGGCTGTTTTGGCATGATGATTAATGAAGTGCGGGTAAATGATGATGATGATTTCGGATTTCTGATTTTTGCTGCATGCATGTATATTATGTATATGTATGTATGTGTGTTTGCCATGTTTTATGTATCTGTAGCCAGTATCTGCAGCTTCTTATGCTGGCTGGCATGTTGATTTCAATAGAGAACGCGCGCGCACACTCCACACTAAAGAGCAGCGATTTAAACACATCTCGTACTACACACACACACATATATATATATGTGTATGTATATATATATGTATGTGTGTGTATGTAGGTGTGTACACGGAATTACTGTTGAATCATGTTTTAGTTTTCAATTTCAGTCTACAACATTGCCTCAGATTCGGACAAGCTGTTGCAGGAATGTGAACACATTTTTGCAGTTTCTTAATGCTACGATTCTGTCGGAAAGTAAGAGAGGAATATTTGATACCCCCTCTCTATTAATTCTAATTCTTAGAGCTGTTTGTACAAAGTTGATCGTGAAATCCTCTTCTGAGGTCAACCATATTCCTTGCTGTTTATCGCTTCATCTGCCAGTCGAGTCGTCTAATTAATTGCCAACTTTGACACTTGGCCGAGCATCGGCAATTGCTTGTCACAACAATGACGCTTGAGTGCCCCTTTCCCCGACTGTCTGTCTGCCTACCTGCCCGGCTCCTACACTAAGTATTTAACTATAAATTCACTTGCTAAATAGCGCAAATGTCTCGGTATGTTATTGTTATTGTTGTTGCTGTTGCAGGTAAGGCAGTCGGCCATAATTTAGTTTTCTACCAAGGCAACAGGTTAAGCGTTAATACCAATCAATGCTATATTTTATTTTTTCTTTCTTTCTTTCATTGGTTTGTTGCCGGCACAAAGGCAATTCAGCCGAGTTCGAGCCCGAATCTGAATCCGAATCCGAGTCGGAGCCATAGCCGTACACATTGTTTTGTTTCGTAAATTGCATTTTCAGAACGACGAGACGTAGAAAAGGAAAACACACACACTCGCACACACAGAGGTTGGCCTCGACTATATACTATACGTGTGTATAGCTATAATCAGGTATGAAAGGTTACGCTTGCGCAGTTGTTGCCGCGTCCTCGTCTTCGTCGTCGTCGTCTTGGAATGCTCACTTGCCGGCTGGGTCGGCTCTGAATGCCTGGCCTGCCTTCCCGAGACTACCTTTCTGCCTGATGCCTGCTGCCTGGGTCCACAATACGCATTTGCGTGTGTCTCTGCCTCTGCTCTGCGGTCTCTAGCTGTCTTTTGCTGGCAGGAACTTAATCTCTTTTGTGCAATATTCCAATCCTCCCTACACATTTCGACTCAATCTCAGCCTTAGACTTTGCCTCTGGCCTCGGCTGCGACTGCGGCAGCGGCCTCTTACGGTTTTTGTTTTGTTCTTTTAATGATAAAAAAAATATATATACAGAAACCTTTACCTTTTTATTTGGAATTTGGTACCTTTTTAATCTCTCGCTGACGACGACGTCCCTCTGTGTGAGCCTACAGCGCACCGCCAGCCGCGCAGTTATATTATTAATGCATTGTTCATTTCTTCATATGAACTACGTTTTTTCCCCTCGCTCTGTTTTCTTTTCTTTTTTGTGAGCAACCCTTAGGCCAGGTTTTGGATTTCCTATAGAAACAAAAGCAGCAGCAGCTCGACAATTTCCATGAGCCAACTTGTTAGCGAAACTGCGAAAAGAGCAGCAATCGGTGGCAAGCTCTAGCTGTTGCCAAGGGTTGAGGTTGGGGTTGGGAATGGGCTGACTGGGAGAGGGTCGGAGGCAATTACATGGCAGCGTGCTTTGCGACTGACGATCGAGATCTGGAGCTCCGAACATCCGCCTCCCACTCATCACTGTTGTGGTGCTCTAGAAAATCAGCTCCCGTTTATATTTGTTTTGAATTCGTTTAAATATTTGTTTATAGAACTAATTGGCGCTCTTCAAATGCTTTTATTATTATTTAGTTGATTCTGTTCACACGAATCTAGTTTTATTTGCCTTCCTCCGCTTAGGCTCTCAGCTGCTGATGACTTTCAATGTTTGTGTAGTGTTTTGGCCCTTTTTAACAGCTCTTTAAAGACAAATATGCACCTGGACTCTAATATGTTGGTTAAATACAAGTCTGTGCATGACTGCTGCGCCGTTATAACTACTGAGCTGGAACTAACAGAGTCATACTTAATTATATCACATAAGTCAATCAAAAAAATATAATAAAATCTCAATATTCAAATGATAGTGCTCTTATAATCCACACACAAATTTGGACTGACTTGAATTTAAATTTGTGACGTTTTGGAATAATATTGCATTCTGAACTGTATGAAATTATTTGGAATACATTTAGACTTGCTTTGGAGATGAATCGGGTTTTAAACCAAACTAACTCCCGTCCAACCATTTTGCACAACTCATTCATATTTCAACTAAGTTTGAACAATCAACTGATCCATTTCGTTAAAAGTTGCCATCAAATTCCACAAATATATAGTATTGTACAACTTCTTCAGATCTAAAAGCAAAGCTTTATATTGTACTTACCACCGTATGGACTTAAGAGAAACGGCATAATAAAATATCCAGACTCTATGCAAAGATTCGGCTTAACCACACACATTTTGATGTTCTAACATTTAAAATTGGGACGATTTTTAACGAGTTGTTTGCCCAGTTTTGGATTAATATGAATAGAATGACATCTATAGCATTGCATTCTGAATTATTTGGAACATAAGAAATACATTTGCTTTGGTAGCAGACACAATCTCTTTTATGGATATGAATCGGTATTCATATTCCAACTAAATCACATATAATTTGCACAATCAACTGATAGATTTCGCTATAAGACTTTATGATTTGAAAAGCGTACCACACGGAAATTGTACAGCTCCTTGAACTACCAGTTTTCCTTCCTCTGTGGCCGCGATCTTACTTGTGTATCAGTTTCTTCAGTTGGTTCCATAGCCGTTTGTATATATGAATATATCACAATGCTTATATATATTAGGTATGCTGAAAATTATTGCATTTCTTAGTAAATGTTGACGAGCTAATAAAAGTAAAGCTTTCTACTTACCACCATATGGACTTAAGATAATCATAAGAATAAAATATCCAGCCTCTATGTAGGTTGTAACCAAACCTGTGATTGCGCAATTTTTGCTTCTCTAAGGAATATTGTTTGTGTACACAGATTGTGGGAGAAATATGGATTACGTTTACCTTAAGGACTCCAAACAACAAGCAAAGAGTACCAATAATGCATAATACAATCACGACAAAAAAAATAATTAAATAAAATATAGAGTCACTACGTTTTTCTGATTCGTTGAATTCATCTCTACGTGAAGAAACAACTAAATAATAAAGGTTTGGAACAGTTAACGTGTTTCATTTGGATGTTTGCTTATTAGTTGCACTTACTGGAAACCATAGAGACCCCAAGGAAAATAATAAGTACAGTTAAATTCACAATGCAATGAATAATACATCCTACACGTAAGCCTATCTTGCCGCAAAGATTTGGACAAACCACACACATTTTGATTCACTTAAATTTAAATTTGCGATTTTTTTTATATTTATATAATACGAATGACGTGTATGGCATTACATTCTGATCTGGATGAAATTATTTGGAACATAACATTTACATTTGCTTCGGTAACAGACACAATCGTATGTAGTATGGAGACCCACCATTAACCAATAAGTGGTTACCAGAATTCCATTCCATCCATACGCACTCAAGTAGATGATGGTTGTTGAAAGGATTCTAGATTTCCTAGCCATCATTCCTTAACTCTTGCGTCCTTGTTGATGGTGCTCTACGTCCAGGTTTCATTTCCGTTGCATAATACGAATATATCACAATACCGATATAGATATGATAACCTGGAATCAAATCAAATGTGGAACTGAATGCTAACATTTGAATTGTACGTATACTTGCAACCAAGATAGATTTGAGAGAGCGAGGCAATGTAAGACGCGACTTGTACGTAGTTTATAACCAAAGCAGTTATAACCAATGCTTTGTTGCGCTGAAGAATACAATGCACACAATATATAGTAAGCCATGAGACATTGATTTGAGAAGATTTACCGTGAAGATGCCGATCAATAGGAGGAGGGCACCAACAATAAATACTACAAGCAAGACCATAATAATGTAATAGACATTTATGCTCACACCATACTCCCTATCTTTTTCGTCCAGGCCACTCGTTACTAATGTTACAAAGTGTTTGAAAAGGTTATCGTTTTCTCGACTGCAGTTTACTTAAGAATTATGACTAACATTTATGTGCCATAATCAAAATGAAAATGATTAATATAATTATATTGGCAATGCTGTGAATAAGGCATCCTTTACGTAGGCTCTTGCCACAGCAGGCTCCCGGAAAGACGCAACACATTCCAAATTTGTAAACGCCAATATTTTGATTTTCTTATAAACAAATATATATGTGTATAATACGCATATGTGTTTGTTAGTTTTTGAGAAATATAAATGATAGCTTTTCAAGAAAGACATGTTTAGCATGACATTCTCAAAAAGTACTATACTTGTACATGTATGAATCGAATATTTTCAAATTCTAGCACAAGCAGAGGATCTGCCACTAAAGAGGCAAGGGAGTTGTTAATCAGATTTGTAAACAGTTAGGAAACCCATTTCGTATAACTACTTGTACTAGTCTTCCACGGAAATTGGATTGAATTGTAGTGAAGTCCAAGGCGAGTCTAATGCGTGACTTGATTCTGTTCTAATTGTACTTTTCAATGGCTGGCCCACAACAATGATTATTATTTAATGCCATTGGAAAATTTTCAAGCGCCTTCCTGATATTATCTATGAAACCATTCTACCTCTTTTTTCGGCTCATTCACCTTCGTCTCTTCATCGCTTCTTCTCTTTGTGGTCGCAAACGAAAGCATCTGAAATATTTCATGTTTATGTGACTTTCGTGCGTTTAATTTATGTGGCGTTACTTATGCCCCGCAATGATTTATGTTTCAAACGTGCATACGTATGTGTGAGTTGTGTGTGTGTCTGTGTGTGCTAAACGTTTTCAATTAAGAGCACGCCATAACAAATTAGTCAATCGGTTGACAAGTGGCCACAAAAATGGCTATACTCTATGCAAAAGGGGGCCAGAGCGGCGAGCACTTAACAGCTCTCTTATCAGTCGTGCCGGGTTCTCTGACGCTCGCCGGATGTTTGATCAGAACAGCAGTGCAGCTGTATTTTCGGTTTTATTTAGATATGAATTGGATTACGACTATAATGATGACGCTGATGATGGCTATGGTGAAAGCATTTAGAGCCACGTACCATTGATATGCGCTACTGTTGCACAGCGAGAAAAAATGGATTCCAATTGAATTGCAGTTGAACTATTTTCAGATTAATATCAAACAGGGCTTTAATAAAGTTCAATGCAGATTTTAAATGCAAAAGCAGCTATTTGGATATTTTTAAATTTAATTTGTAAAAATTGTTTTGAAAACCGCAAACTGCTCCAGCTTCTTTGTTATTTATTTTTTATTTATTTAATGTTCCTATGTGATGTGAATCCGACATGTGAACAGTAGAAGCTTCTTTACTTATTTGATATATGAAGAAATATTTAAGCATATCCATATCATTTCTTCTCCATTTCCATTGTGTTGCAAAGGGAAATTGAAACGTGTCCCACTTTTCTGGCAGTGCATTAAAATCTCTAAAAACCTGTGCGGGTTGTGTGTTATCGTTGCTCTTGTTGTAACATTCCCATGCAAATATTGACAATTCCGATGTTGGTAATGTTTACCTGCTTACCTTTATTTCTCTGCTTCTTCTTCTGCTTCTCTGGCATCTACTCCAATTTTCAGGGCGCACCTTGCGCGCCCGATCTTAGATGTTGTGTATGTTGGCTACCACTTGGCTGTCTTTAGTTGTTTGGAGCTGTTGTTGTAGTGTCGTTTGTTTTGGGTCATAAAAGCAGCACCCAAGTGGATCTACGCACATTTATAGCTTGGCCCATAAAAGCAAATATATAAAGTAAATCAGTCGACGGCAACAACACGCATTGCGCATAGAGAGGCACTACTGTTTGTTGTGCGAGCGCTTATTATTGTCACCTCAATTGTGCTGCCCCGTAGTTTTTACTACCGATATTGCGCGCCCATTATAAAGATAAAACGCAGTCGACTTCAGGAATGGGAACGTTACACATTTTCCGTTTCTTTGTTGTTGTTTTCTATGCGTCTATTTGTCTGCTGGTCTGTCTACTAGTCTCTCTTACCTGGAAAAGTTAGTCAGTAACATTATTATCAGAAGCATTATTATCCAAAGCCAAGCATCGCATCAGCATCACCCACAAAGCTAATATACGAGTATAACATAATTGTTAATGTCAAGAATGTTGGTGGTGCAAGCAAGCTTGTGCAAGCTTTTGAGTTCCAAACATGCGGGTATTCTTACGTTCCGTCGCTCGCTGTAGTTGGGAGTAAAGATATATGTTTCTTTAAGTGTATCCTAAGATTTTAGTAGTTCAGGTCAGACTTTCCGTTTGCTGCATTAAGTGCTTGCCTCGGCAGTTCTTCTTCAATACAGATTTATCTTATTATTCTCTGACTACCGCAGTGCTGCATTTCCCCACTTGGGGGCTGAATTTCTCTACAATCTAGTTTAATTTCACTATAACTCTCTCCAAAAGCACTGATAGTGCTGGTCGACCAAAAACAGCGATCTAAAAAGTTTAATAAAGGCCGAGTGAATAGTTATAGTTTTATTCTGGAAACATAATCAAAATAATAATATAATTAATTGAGCATGCACTTATTTCCCACTGAACTCTGCAGTAGCTCAGTTCCCCTTTGCTTGGCTCTAATAGATTTATGGCTGCCATCATGTCTCGTTACTGCAGATAAACCTTGAAAGCGTTTACAGCTTTGAGAGCAAAGCTTCAAAATTGGGCCCCTTTGGCATTTTTTCGTGTGTGCGTGTTCTTGAGATAAAATCCTCGATAACATTTTACAGCAGTGCCTCTTTTTCTCTCTACCTCTCTCTGTCTTTGTGTTTGTCTCGAACGAAGCCACATTTGGGCACGGTTTTTATTTAACTTTTTGTAGTTCTTTGCTTGGCCCAGACATGCCGCTTGTCTAACGTTTGTTTATGATAGCAAAAGTGGCAGCAGCAGCAACAACAAGAGCAACAAACACAATAACAACAATAACAACAGCTACCCGCATGAAGCGGCGCCGACGCACGCAACCAAAAACAAATACACAAAAGTAATAATGAAAATTAGTGTAGGTACGTGCAGTAATTTAGGCGCCACATATATAGACACATAGACCATTAGCTTAGATAAACTAATACGAGCGACGTGTGCAGGTTGCTGTTGCTCTTGTTGTTGCTGCTTCTGTTGCTGCCACATGGCGTATGTGCAACATATAGAAGCAGCACAACAAAAGCATCAGCACCAAAATGCACATTCGATATAATGAACAGGATAACGTCAATTCAACCACAATGGAGGGCGAAAGGTCATCTAAAAGTAACTAAAACCAAAACATTTAAAAGTGCTAAAATGTATATCTATATCTTCTGCAATTGAAATGTTTATAATTGCTAGTAAAACGAAAGGAACTACTAGTTGCATAAATTATTAAATATTAAATAAATTATTAAATGTTTTTAGCGCTACTGACAGCACATCCTATTTAGATTGGTTCCAGAAACAATCAATAGGTGATTGGTTCCTTGTCTCCGTGTATGCAATTTTTAATTTTTAAAAAAAGACCGTTTAAATCCGAATTAGGTGTATAGCTAATATTCAATTTGTACCACAATTGTTGCTCAAAAATAGTGAAAACAGAACTTTTTAAAAGCGCAACAGAGATTTTCCATTGTTCCAATTCTCTTTTTGTTTTCAGTTTTACTGTCGATTTGTCTACTTCCATAAAACAAAGTAATAATGATGACCAATTTGAGCATAACATGAATTATAGTACGAGTAGTATAGTATAGTAGTTTATGCTTTTAAAGTCAATAAAAACAATAGCGGTTTCTTAGCAGCTGAGAACAACAGTTCATAATTGTAATCGATAGCGGAAAGAGCACTGATTGTTTCATTCCGTTGTTATGCCACCGTTCCGTTCTTATTTTCGGCGTCTGTCTGTCGTTTACCGTTCGACTTGTGTTATCACTGTCGCTTTTAATATTGGAGAATGCATGTGTGTGTGTGTGTGTGTGTGTTTGAAGTGCATGGGGTTTTGTGGCAACTGCTACTGTGCAGAGCTCTGTGCAGAGCGGCACGTTGATTCCAAAAGTCGCCGGCGTCGAGTGCATAAATCGCTTTATGGCCGTTTTGGCTGCGCGCGCTTTATGGCCATTACTCAAGTGCTTTTACTTCACCAGCAGCAGTAGAGTACTCTTCACATGTTGTGGCTTGCTGTGTGGACTGCCCCACTGCACCACTAACTGTCTGCACCGCTGATCGCCAAACAACACCACCACCACCACCACTCGCCCTCCTCCCCTATCACAACACGGCCAACTGCTTCACTTCGCCGTTGTGTTGTGTTGTGTTTTCTTTGCTAAGGTTTATGGCCAACACAATGCCAGGGCTATAAACACACACGAACACACACACATAACACTCTGTGGAGCTCCTAGGTATTGGCATAATAAAAACGTAGCAAAACAACAACAACAAACGAAACATTTTATTGGCCAAAGCAATGGTTGCTGCTGCTGCTGCTGACCGCATTGTAATTTTGTGCGCCACAATTTTTAGCTATATTTTGGCTTATTTTGTTGATGCTGGCTGTTCCTGTTGTTGTTGTTTGTAGCTCGAATTTCTATAAATTTATCATGTGAGAAATTAAAACAATTTTGATTGAATCATAATTTTATATTCCCCTTTTTGCTTGGCCCATTTGGCTTTTATGGCGCTCTTTGGCTGTGGTCTGTTGGACTGTTGTTATTGTTATTGTTGCCTTTTTATGGCACATGCCTCGGTGAGAGGCGACCCCAAAGAGCTGTTTGTGTGACGCTCGCACTCGCGTGTTCCTTATTTTTTTTGTTGCTGTTTTGTTGTTTTGAAGAAATTGATTTGAAAATTCCACACAATTTATGGCAGCTACGAATGGCCTCCTCATCCTCAAACTCTAGCCCCTCGCTCCAGCCAAGCCCCACTGTGCGTATCATTGCGTATTTTTAGAACGCCAACGACGACCATGCGACCATGCGACCATCGAGACATTGTAAACGTTGTATAATTGCATTTATTGGGCCCCATAAACTTCTTCAAGAGTATCTAAACAGTAGTGATTTTCGTTTTGTCGTGCAAAAAATTATAAATGAGAATGATAATAAAAAGCACAAGTAAATGAAACAAAATTTATGAGCTAAGCATGTGAAACTGATTAGAAAGCAGGGTGGCCGACCATGGAGGGGGGGAAATGGGAGGAGAACGAGGCACGTCAGTTGCTACTCGTACTATTGTGTACTGCTTGTTGTTGTTGCTGCTGCTGCTGGCGTTGTCAATGGTGTTTTTTGGGGGGCTTTCCGCCCGGCCAAATGTACATACGTCAGCCCATCGAACTCAAAAGTCGCACACCGAGCCAAATGGGGGTTACCAACCAACTATTCCTGGAATAGCTTACATGAGCTTTGCCAGAATTCTACCTCTCCGCTCAAGTGAATCATAGATACTTGGTCGGCTTAGATTTTCACCTTCCTATCCCTAGTCGGATATGAACTAACCATATCTTAAATGAAAAGAATACAGACCACATTTTATACTTAGAACGACCAATAACAGGCATTCCTTACAACAGAAAGGATTCTTTTCAATCTATTGTGAAATTTGTTGAAGTAGATAATATTTTATAGGCAGTAGTAATAGAGAATTCTTCAATAAAGTTGTGGGGAATGGGTTAGGAAAAGCATATTGTAGCTTAAAGTATTTTCCAAGTAATGGCTTAGTATAGGGAAATCAACATTACTTTGATTTAAATAATGTTTCGTACAATTTCTAGAAAAATAGGCGCGTTTTTCTCTCAGTGCTACAAAGTTTAAATATAAAACTGTCATATGTACGCTGACGCCCACGCCCCAGCACATTAACAGCCATAGAAAACGGCAACTGCATGCTCACAACAACAACAACAACAACAAAATGTATCTCAACGACAACGGCAAAAGTGACACTAAAATTTTCAATTTTATTTTCATTTAAAATTTTCGTATTTGTATACTTTTTTATTTTTTCAACGCTGCCGCACAACTTCTTGGGTGCCAATGCCTTCTTGGGTTGCACTCTGCTGCACACACACACACACATACATACATATGTGTGTATATGTATGTATATTTATAGACTTGTCTCATGCTGTGAATTTACTTGTTAAAATGATTTATACATTTTTAAAAACCACAGTGAAAATGTTGACGCTGACGACGCGAACTTGGCAACTTGCGATGGGTGGCTAGCAATATACAAGTAACATAGCTAGGCTGCTTATCAATAAACATGTTGGCCAGGCCAACTTGCTGGTAATTAGTTGCCAACAACAACAACGGCAACGGCAACAGCAATGACGGCGATGGCAGCCATTTTGATTTCGTTGCCGTTGAAAAGTGCGTGTGCAATATGCTCGATGTCTGCCAGTCTCTGGCTGCTTTTCATATCAGCTAAAGCGCGACCTGGTCGGTCGCCGACTATGCGGCACCCCTTCCCGCTGCCCCGCCCCAACCCGCTGATCATCGACATCGACTGGCCGTCCGCTTGTCCGCCTGTCCGTCCGCCAACAACAAAACTTATCATGTAAACCAGTTTGGCAAGTTCTTCCAGGCAGGCGGCAGTCAAAGTCAGTTATCTGCCTGTCTGTGTGTGTGTATGCTTTCTGGTGTGTGTGTGTGTGTGTGTGTGTGTGTCAGCCAACCAACCAGCATTTGAAAATGCAACATAAAAGCCAACAACTTTTGCAAAAATTCTACAACACGCACGCAATTTCGTTGTCGTCCGTCTTCGCCTTCGTCAGCGTCATCATCGTCTTCGTCATCGTCTTCTTCAATGGCTGTGCTTTGTATACTTGTGTTTGCTGTTGTTGTTATTCTCATTGTATTTGTTGTTGTTGTTGTTGTACTGCTTCTGCCTCACAATGGGGCGTTTTTCTCATGCCTCAACAGTTGTATGTCTCGTACCCACATTGTTGCAGATGTCGATGTCGCCGGCACCTCAACACACAAAAGATGCTCGTACAATGCCACATATAGTCGATGGAGTTGGACTCCAATACTACTGGTCTATAGTAGGCCGTATGCTCCAAAGTGTGTAATTATTAGCCGCACATGCTTCACTGGATTTCAAAGAACCGTTGCTGGTTACTAGTTTGCCATATTGTGGCATGATTGGGAGTATTTGAAGCGTTCTTGATGCTTACTTGTAGACCCAGAAGTAGTTTCAAAAAATGCTCTGATTGATGAAATATGAAGATTCTTCTATTTAGGTCTGCCTCAATCAAAAAATACTTTTCAATTCTTAAATCTGTCACATTCGGAGCTCAATCAATCCAAATGCTTGAAGCATTTCATTTAAAGAAGAGTTCAAATTTTACTTTCTGTTCTTTTCCAATCAAATCTTTTAATTCATTCAATCAAATCGAACTTATTTCTATTTATGCATCACAAAACTATATCCCGCTAGATTATTTGAATGATTTTGATGATCAATATTTGATGTAATTGCTAAAACAACTCACAAGTGGTTCATTTAAAGGCACGAATTGAGAAGAGGAAGCTCTCCTGGAGTTATAGTTTCTTTTTAGCAGCTTTGGGAGGCGGTTGAGCTCCACTTTCTATCTTGAGTGGAGTTCTCACGCTCCTAATGTCTTTTGCGAATTTTTGATCATCGATCGAAATATGAATGTTTCTTGCAAATGGCACACCTTTCCACATTAAGCGATCGCTCACGTTTTCAACATGTTTTAGCGATTATCGGCTTCGGAGATCACTTGGCAGCTGGCCACCCGCCTGAATCTATCTGTTTGGCTTGGCTTGGCTTGGCTTGATTGCAGCCTTGGGCCTGGATGGGTGGTCGTGGTCGGTCAAAGTCAGGCCGCAAAGCGCAAGGTCAACTCTGTTGCTCTACCGTTACACTCTGCACAGCGGGTGTAGCGATGTTATTTATTTATGGCTCCTACGTGTGTGGATGTGTTTGAGAAGCGCCCCAGCTAGTCACACATTTGTTATTATGGCCTGCCTGCCTCGCATGTTCAGTTCCGTGAGAGCCAAACAAAAACAAACAACAACAGCAACCGCATCGATATACAAAATTCAAAACAGCAACATTTTGCAAATACAAAAAAACAATATATGTATGTATATAAAAAAAATAGGGGAAAACAATAACTGATTGAAACAAAAATAATTCGCAGCATTTATGTTGACCTTCTGTCACATTTTGGCGGGCGCGTCGGTGAGTTTTGGTTTTGGTTTCGGTTTCGGACTCGGTTATTTGGTTGTTTGGCGCGGTCTGTGTGGCATTTTATCTAGCTACATATTGCCTTTGTGATTTTTATCTAAGTGTGTGGTTTATTTTTGTTGGCCTGGGCTCTGTGTGTGCTATAAAAACGAGAATCTCTTTTATGGTCACAGCGAGTCAGTTCATGGCACCGACTCTTGATGAGCTGTACAAAAACAAAAACAGAAAACAAAAAAAGAACAATTTTTACGCAAATGTTGCGATTCCCATGCTGTGTGTGTTTGGGCCATGCTGGGCATGGTGCTGTTGTTGTTGTTGTAGTTTTATAATGTGTACAATATTTTGCCTGCGATAAGCATGCCGCTGCATCATAAAACTGAGGCGACACAGTCAGAGTTAGCCCAACAGCAACAAACTAGACACAGGCAACAGACTACAGACAACTACCGCCAGACATGCCACCTGCCTGCGTTTTGTCAAGATCGCCTTTTGGTGGGTTCACTAGCAACAACAACAACAAGTAACAGCTGCTGTTTTTGCATACATTTTCTGCCCTCACATTGTTATTTTTATTTTTATTTTCCACATTTTGCAACGATTTCATTTTACTCAAAAATGTTTTCTCTCTCTTTCACTCTATTTGCAGATAAGATCACAGAAACCCTACTATACCGCAGATCCCGAAGTCGACTCACTGGTAAGTAGTCAAGCCAAGCAACATTGTTGCCGCAACATGTTGCCCGGTTGGCTAGTGTGTGTGTGTGTGTGTTGTCTCTTTACTCACCTTGACCCAAAACACCAACGACAATTGAATAATTTTCTTTTATTTAGAATAAATCACTGCGAATTTAGCAGCTGCCGTTTTGGCGAGCGCAATTTATGAGCATTTGTAGTTTAACAGCGAGCAGCACAGATCTGAGAAGAACGACAACAACAAGCGAGGAGACGTTGTCTGCTTCTCTTGAGCCGTCCAAGCTGGCAAATAAGTTGTTTAGTCATTTTATTGGACAAGCAGCGTTGCCATATTTTTTGCGCACGCATTTTGATTTTTGCATTTTGCCAAGAGGGAATCGAAAATGGGGAATTGTGTAGTATACTACGAGTAGTAGTGCCTTGTGTGTGTGTGTGTGTGTGGGGATGAGGAATAAGAGAATGGGAACGACCACAACGTGCCTGTCCCGACTACAATATGAAGCAGAACGATTTAATGATGCATATGACATTTTTGCACTCTCTAAATGGCAGCCTTGGGTGTGCGGGCAACAACAACAACAGCAACAGCGATGGCAACAAAAGTTGTCGTGGGTTAGTAAAATGCATAAAGACAGGCACTGACTGACTGACTGGGCTCCAGCCCCATGCCCAGTCTCAGTCACCGTCACATTGATAGTCTCAGCGACCAAGAACGAAGGCAAAGGCACCACACAGCAAAATTCATACAACCTTGGCGACTGCTCTTGTTGTTGCTCTTCTTGTTCTTGTTATTGTTCTGTGTTGTTGTTGTTGTTGTTGCATCTGCTGCTGCTGCTGCTGCTGCTGCAGTTGTTGATGTTGTCGCTGATCATTGTGCGTTGGTATTTCAGTTGGAATCACTCCTTAGAGCGCACAAAAGTGTGGGGTATGCTAATTTTGAGAAACAATTGGTTAGTTATGGCAGCGCGAAATAAATTAGATGATTAGAGATGATCTCATCTGAGTGTTGTCGAAAGATAAGTGAGGCTGATTGGAAGTGAGCTCAGCGCAGTTCTAATCTAACTGATTTATGCGAGATTAGAGATCGATAAAGTATTATCATTTCAAGGAAAGATGAATTAACTCTTAAACCACAGTTTAAGGTGGAGTTCAGCTGGAGCAGTTCTTCACTGGCTTCTGCAGCTTTCAAATAGTGGCTTAATTCTCGATTCGCTATGCGTAGTACACAGCTACATAATTTCATTCGTTCTACCATAAAATGGAGCATTGGAGTATTTATTTCCCAGTCAGGCAGGCACTTCTTTTACCCTCAGCCCAGCACAAAGCTCTTGCTTGGTGTTCATTTATTTTTGTAGTTTTTTGTTGTTGTTGCTGCTTTTGCGCGTCATAACCATTTTTATGGCGGGCATGAGTCAGTCAGTGCGCTGAATTCCAAGGCAGAGGAGGGCTGACGGTTTTGGCATGTAAATCAAGACGGAAATGCTGCGTGCAAAAAGCGCAAAACGAGCCATGATATTGGGCTGCACAAATCGCGTCAACTGCGACTGACTGCTCCTGACTGCTCACACACACACATACATACGCGTACATGTGCACTATATAGTAGATATATGTACATACATTCGTGTATATAAAGAGATTATGGCAAAACTAATTTTAATTGCGCCACTCGACGCAACTCTTTCGCTCTCTCTCCCTGTCCCTCTCCCTCTCTCCACTTTTGCCTGGCCCCAGAGTCGTAAATGTGTCACTCACGCACAGCAGCGGCGATGGCAGCGGCGTTGGCGTTGGCGATGGCTGCACTGCTGCGCGCGTCTTGTGCGCGTTTTATGCGCGTTTTTATGGTGTATTAGTTGGCAGAGCGCAGAAATCACTTGTGGCCCTAATTTTATGCACTTGCAGATTAGTTTATTAGTTGTAGTACATGCCCAATGAGTGCTGCAGCACTCTTGTCTAACCGTCCGCACGTCCGTCCAGCTTCGTCCGTCCCCTTGGCCATGGCCGTGTGTACGTACGAGTACGCGCGCTTTGGCCATAAATCATTTTGGCGTCCCACTCTCGCGCTCTGTGGTCGTCCATCCGCCGCTCCCGCTGCTGTCTGTGGTCCAACATGTTTGAACATTTAAAAGTGCATTTAGTAACACTTACTTAAATAAAAAAATAAAAAAAGCAACGCACACACACACACTCAGATGCTTGGCGGTTTTGTGTTTGGTATTTACTTGCGCACACATATGCTATAAAAATTTTTATAGCATGTCTTCTCTATGTTATTATTTTACAACGTGCTCAAGAAAACGCCCGGTGGGCTGCGGTTGGCAGCCGTCTTCAATGAAATTCTTTAAAGTTTTAGCCGCAGTTGCAGTAGCAACAAAACAACAACAACAATGCCAGCAACAACAGCAATGAGAGGAGCCAACAGTCGCGGCCGCAGCAGTTAGCAGCATCGTAAAAATGTCAAATGTCAAGCTGACGTTTTAATTAGCATTTGGTTGCCCGAATGCAATGAGACTGAACTGATCCCGTCAGTAGTGTAGTCTTTATGTTCTCTACATTTATGCTCATGTGTGTGTGTGTGTGTGTGTGTTTGTGGGTTTGAAATGATTTGTTTGCCACTAGTGTGGTTTTTATGGCTTCTAATTTGTTATAAATTCAAATCGTATTCACACATCATTCTCATTATCAATCTCTTCTCTTTGCAGATGGTGCAAGCAATACAAGTACTTCGGTTTCACCTTTTAGAATTAGAAAAAGTAAGTACTACCAGCTGATTATTTTTGTTATGTATTTAAGAATTACTTTTAAGCACTTCTAACGCATTGCAATACGTTCAGCACAATAATATTGAATTAGTAGCTTAGGAATTTGGATAATGGTCTTGAATTTGGAATAAATCCTAATGTGCGTTTATGCCACTTTATTTATCCATTCATTATTTATGAAATTCTAGTCAGGTATATATGTTTCTTCTATATATTTAATGAGAGTATTCAAGCTAAGCAGTACTTCATTAATTTCAGTCCTTCATCGCTTTTATTCATTTCTTTCCTTTCATATCGTTTCATTGCCTTCATTTAGTTCATACATGCCTTTTAAAACAGTACATTCCTTTCATATCGTTTCATTTCATTTCATTCCTTTCATTTCATTGTGATTAAATATACTTATAGCTGAAAATGAGGAGATTCTAAGTATATCCAAGTCCTTCATCGCTTTCATTTCATTTATATCATTCCATTGCTTTTCATTTCATTCATGCGTTTTTGTAACATAAAATTCCTTCCATTTCGTTTCATTTCATTCCTTTCTTTTAATGCTTTTCATTGATTTGAAACTGAAATTGAGATTCTACTTATATCCATAAACACATTCAATGAACTGTCTTAATCCCATTTCTGAAACAGCTGATAGCCAAAGCCAATTCGATCATGAAGATTTCTTTGTTGCCAACAAGTTGTCAATTGATATAATTACTTAATTCCTCAGATACTTTTTGCACTCACTAATTTAAAGTAGTCAGCTTTGTGGACTTGTCGACCACCCGAATATTTTATTTCGCTCCCATAAATAAACACACTGGCTATGCAAACAACTTTGTTGTCTCTTATTTTTTGTGTTTTTCGCTGGCTTTGTAACTCATTCTGTCAAGCGGGCGCGCATTTCAATTACTAACAGTTGTGTTGACATTTTATTGAGCTTGTAAGTCGGCTCGAGCGACACGGCCCGGCTTCGGCTTTGGGCCCAAGTTCCCCGTTAGCGTGGCCCACAGCATGCGGCCGGCCATATTTCTAGCTGTACATTTGTGCAAATGTCTAAATTAAGAGCGAAACAGTTGGCCCTGTCTGGCCGGGCAGTTGGCCAGTCTCAGACACATAACCAACAGAAATTTGTTGCAGCTGTTGCCGTTGCCATGGCCTATACAATTGCCTGTGACTGTGCCAGTGCCAGTGCCTTTGCCTCTTTGGCCAGGCCAATTGAATTAATTGCCAATCAAAATTGTAACATGAAAATTGCATGCTGCACATTGCTCACATAGCTCTGCAATGGCTATGAGAAATCTGTGGGACTCAGCGACTGTTTCTCTTACACTGTGCAGCAAAACATGGCGCAGCAGAGAGCATAAGGCGGCAGCAGCTTATAACAAACATCCTGTCTGCCGATTTCTGGCAACAATGCCGCCCAACCGTCCAACCGACTGACAAATATTTGCTTGCTTTTTTTTTTTATTATTATACAGTCGAACAGCTCTATAATGAACTTAAGTAAGCATTTAATAATTTTATACAACTTTTGAAAGTTATGGAAATGAAAAATAAACTTACGATTTAAGATTGAAGAATCTTTTATATACAAGTTTATTCTTTTTCTTTTTATATTTTTTCATAATTTTTGAATCAAGCAAGAACTTGAAGCTCTATTAAAAAGAATTGAAAAGTGAAGAACTTGTATATATTAATATTCTAAAATGAAGTTAAGTCTTCCACTCTCCTGCTTTGGAAATAAAGTTGAAAAGGGCTTGAATATATTAAATGAAAGACCTCACATTGATGATCACATTGTAATTCGAAAATTCAACTAAACTATTATTTTTGTTTAATTTGAACTTAAATGCAAATTAATTCTTCCTAAATCTTCAATTATTATTATTGTTTAATTTGAACTTAAATGCAAATGAATTCTTCTTAAGTTTTCTATTATTATTAATATCGAAAATTATATTATTTTTGATTCTGATTTTTTTTGTTGAACATTTTCATAATTTTGCTGTAAAGAAGCTCTTGGATTTAAAATAAATAGGTTCAACAGACAATGAAAGTTTGTCTTTCATTGCGAGATTTCTTAAGTTTTCTATTATTATTAATCTCGAAAATTATATTATTTTTGATTCTGATTTTTTTTGTTGAACATTTTCATAATTTTGCTGTAAAGAAGCTCTTGGATTTAAAATAAATAGGTTCAACAGACAATGAAAGTTTGTCTTTCATTGCGAGATTTGACTGTGGTTTGTTGTCATGCGTAGATTTGGTTTCGCTCGCAGGTGTTTGCTCAGCTCTGCTTTAGTTTAGATAACAATTTTGTTGTTGTTGCTATTGCTGTTATTTGCATTGCTGCACAATGCAAGGCATTCATACAAGTGGAGTGGAGTGGCATTTGAAATTCGTTATTTTTCGGCTCTCGGCTTTGTTGTTAATTCATGAGGTGTGATGCGGCAGACCAAGCAAACAGAACCAGCCAACAAACAGATCCCCTGCCGCACTCCCATGTGTCGATCCCTCCAACCCCCCATCCCTTCATCGCTCGATCCCTCGTCTCTATTCTAATTAAGCCGCATGTGCCGCTTCAACAAACGCACTTCATAAGTCTGCTCCCTCCGGTAGATTTTCCGGCATTGATAAGCGCGCACACAGACACATAAATAATTTTCCACTTTTGTGTGGCTGTGTGGCTATGTGGCTGGTGCGCGGAATTTTCATAGCAACACCTACTTTATTATTAGACACTTTATAGTCTAAATGGAAAAATTACAGGTTGCCTAATTTGTTTTAATTTCAAATAATATGCACAACTTTCAAATGTACGCGTATGCGGATGGGGGCTGATGGGTGCGTGTTTGTGTCTGTGCCTGTGAATGTGAGTGTGCGGCTACTTTAATGGAAGTTGTTCCTCAACGCTGTCGTAATTAATGCCCCACAATGTTGTTGTGCCGAGAAAATTAATTAAGCAAATGCTCAACGAAGCGTAGCGCGTCCAAAACCGAAGCTGAAACTGAAGCAGAAGCAGAAGCTGAGCTCAAGGCGAGCTCAGCTCTTGTCTTTAGACTAAGGCCTGGATATCGTCTGTCTTTAGTTCGTTTGTCCCATTCTTTTTTTTTTTCAATTAAGTCTTAAGTAAGAAATTATGCAAAACATTCTAAAGCCGATAGCATTTCGAACCGAAACTAAACAAAAATTTACATTCCAGTTGGTGGGGATCTGTGCTGGGCTCGAGAGTCATTTGTCTAGAGTCTAGACAGAAAGTTGAAAGATTGAAAGTTTTGTGGGGCATTGGAACAAAGAGATCTCACTCGCACTGGCACTGGCACTCGAACAGCGACTAATGACTTTGACAATACGAGTAAAAAATAAAAAGGCAAACAACGAAAGTCAATCAATGTGCAATTAGTGTGGAAAAATGTTAATTACCTTTTGCCCAGGCACTTAGGCACTTTCCACTCGGCGGATCGGATCGGCGGGGTCATCGATTGAAAGTAGTGCAGTAAGGCAATGGCAGCTGCAATTTGTTGCACCCTGTATACACAAATAAATGTGCATAAACAAAAAGGCAGACTGGCCACAAACAGCGGCAGCAACAACAACAACAACAACGACGACGACGACCACGACGAGGAAAGCGACGCAAAGATCTTTATCATACAGCCCACGACAGGTTTTTGTTTTGTCATTTGTCACTCACACAGCTTGCGACACACAATGAGGCACAATGTTACCTCCAACAACAACAACAACAGCAGCAGCAGCAACAGCAATGGCAAATCGCATCAAGAATTGTAGCAACTTGTACAAAAACATCATTGATATGCAACGGGTTAGCAAATGCAGCAAGAAACAGAAACAGAAACAAACCACAAACAGCAAACAGCAAATAGAAGCGCAAAAGTTGAGCTCAGTTTTGTGTATAAAATAAATATAAAACACAAATGTACGTGAAATATACAATAACTACTTATATATTTATATTTATATATTGTCTGTAAGTATTTGTTGTTTCTGCTGCTGCTGCTGCTGTTGTTTAAAATAAAAACAACACACAGAATCAGTTAAAGAGACGTTCAAGACTTGTGTCAGTCAAAAACTGGTTTTCCAACACGGACAATTCTCGTCAGCCGTCGAGGCAGGCGCACATGCAAAAAAAAAACAATATATATATATATATATATGTTTATATGTAGGAAAAAATCAACGGCCACAACAACACTGACAACGACGACTACAGCACATTGCAATTGACAAACGGACAAATGGACGGCAGCGCACACAGTCAGACTGAAAGACCGAAAGACAATCGGACAGACGGATGGACGAACGGACAGACGGACATACCCACAGACAACAACACGTTGGGTCAGTTGCACACGCTTCGGCAGGGGGTAACAGTTTGGGGGACTGACGGCAACGGTTTTGGCTGGCGGCAGCATGGGGCAACGATTTGGAGACCTCCACATGCTTGCTCGATCCGATCCGAACTCAGCTGAGCTGAGCTGAGCCGAGCCGAGGTGAACAGACGAATTTCACGCTCAACGAGCTATAGAGTTCTGAATACGAATCATTAGGTTCTGGGTATCTCCTGCAAAATGAAATACAGATTACCTTCAACAAGACAAAACAAGAAGCACAGAAGTAGAAATGAATGACTTCTAATTGTGTGGAATTTTAAATTGGAATTAAATAGATGTAGCATTTCTAGTTGGAGTCATAAATGATAACTAGGCCATACAAAACTAATAACAGATACAATGCTAAAAAGAATTATCGCTTAGGAGATACGCTGGAGTTTGCATTGAAGATGATGAAATAGAACCCACGTTTTATGACAAAAGAAAGGAAAATCATTTTCAAGTGAATCATGATGGCGTCACATTTTATAACTGAAGAAACAATTTAATCGTACTGCTAAGTGAAGAGCTCATATCTTTATACTTAAATTCATCTTTAAACAATGTAACTGAAGAGACCTTAGACTAATAGCAAGCTTTGATTCAGCTCGTATCTTCGTATATCTTAAATTTTTGGAGAGGTAGAGTTTGCATTGAAGATGATGAAATAGAACTCACGTTTTATGACAAAAGAAACGAAAATCATTTTCAAGTGAATCATGATGGCGTCACATTTTATAACTAAAGAAAAAATTTAATCGTACTGCCAAGTGAAGAGCTCATATCTTTATACTTAGATTCATCTTCAATTAATGTAACTGAAGAGACCTTAGACTACTATAATAGCAAGCATTGATTCATAACTGAAGAAACAATTTAATCGTACTGCTAAGTGAAGAGCTTATATCTTTATACTTAGATTCATCATTAGACTAATAGCAAGCTTCGATTCAGCTCGTACCTTCGTATATCTTAAATTTTGAGGGAATATGATAGATATTTTTATTATTATTTATTCGTAAAGTTCGCATATTTATCAATCTGTAAATTGACTCTAAATTCCAGAACACACTATGTAGCTGTGCTGGTTTTTATTGGTCCACCTCCTCCTTCTGCTTAGAAGCGCATGTGTGCTGCCCCTGAGACCTACTCCTGCCTCAAATCCTTCATTTGCTATTCAACCTGACCCACTATTTTTCGAGTTATACTCAAGGCGGTCGTTAAAGCGCCACAAAAAGTACTGTTCAACACTCTCCAGCAGCGGCCATAAAAAGCGCATGCAGACTTCGTCCAATTCCCAGCACTGCTGCACGCTCGTGAATATCTTTATTGTCATTTTATATTTTTTGCTAGCTGTTTAGATTTTGTTATTGTTATTGTTGCTGTTACTGTTGTTGTTGGAGTGTTTGTAAGTATGCTGTCTTTTTAATTACATTTCATTTAAATGTCAGTAGCGTGGTGTGTACTCGTATGCCGCACACGCTTGTTACAAAAAATAAATGAACAGCAAGAACAACAACAACAGCAACGAAAACTTGTTGCTGCAGTCGCTGGCCCGCTGGCAGTAGCTGTCTTTTTGTGAATCTCAACTGCTCTGGTCGTCGTCGTCGTCTCCGGCATCATATATAGAATACTTAACGCTATCTATGAACGGAAATCGAAAATTACCACTGCGCAGATTCGAGCGATTTGCATGAGATTAGAGAGCAAGAAGAAGAGCTAGCTAGCTAGCTAAATGCAATCTAAAGTGTGGGGACCGGGACTGGGGCAGTTAAAATGTTGGGCGGACGCCACGAGATGCCACGCAGTCGATGCTATCGTTGCCTTAAACGGGTGCGCAAGAGGAAGCTGTAAAAAAAAGCAACTACGTACATACGAGTGCGAGTCTATGACTGCGAAAAGTTTTGCCTAACAGGATGTACAAATGACTGTTTCCCCATTCCGCTCCGATCCGCTCCACCACCCCAACTGACCCACAAGCATGCCACAAGACTCGCTTCCAAGTAATGCCCACCCAAAGTGCAGAAACAAGCGCCTCACAGCAAGCAATCCAGGCTGTCCAGAGTCATAAATATCGCAATGAGCTGTTTAAATGTCACATACAACACTGACAAATTAATCAAAAATTATCAGTGCCCAAGCATCGCATGGTTGCTGCAACAACGGCAACAACAGCAACCACAGCAGCAGCAACATGCAACGCAACAAAGGGCCAGACAATAAAGTTGAAGTTGAAACTGGACATAAAGTCGCATAAACATATCAATTTAGCATGCATGTGTGTGTGTGTGTAACTGTTGCTTGCAACATTTTGTGGCTGTTGCACACACAATTGCAATCGCTAATTGTTAATTTAACTGTTGTTATGGCCATTTTGACAGCTCGTTTTTGTCGTCAACATTTTCCTCATTTTTTGTTTTGGCCAGCAACATGTTGCTGTTGTTGCCTTTGGTGTTGCTGCTCTTATCAGCTCGGCAACAATTCGCAACAAATTTGTGTCCTGTCATAAACCGGCCAACTGCGGAGCATTTGTGTGCGTGTGTGCCAGTTTTTATCATATTTTTGGTGACAATAACATTGACCGCAGTCGCGGCAGCAACACCAGCAACAACAACAACAACATCAGTAGGAGCAGCAGCAGCAGCGGCCTGTAAACAAGTTTGACAAGTTTTGGCAATGGCAACAAGTTAATAGCAGGCCAGCAGCACAGTCCGTTCGCCACTGTTGCAGCAAAAATTCGCAGCTTTTTTTTGCATTATTTCTATATGTACATACATACATATACTATGTATATTGTTAACGCTGTCGATCAGCAACAGCAGCCGAATATAAAGTCGGCGTAACAGCAACAACAAGCAATTTGCATAAGCAACGCGCACTTTTTCGTAAATTAAATGCCTGCCTGACTGCCTGCTTGGCTGGCTAGCTGGCTTGGGCTGTAAATGGAGCACCCTGTTGTTGTTGCTGTTGCTGTTGTTGTTGCCGCATCAGAGCCCAGCGCAATTAATTTCTTTTTAGCTGTGGCGGCTGCTGCTTCTCCTCTCCTTCTGCTGCTGTTGCTCTGGCATTCCTCTTGGCTGGCCGCTGCCCTTTTACATATTTGCATATGCAACACACACACACAAGAGTGTTCCAGCAAGCGCCTGACTCACACTCCACTCGAGCTTATCGCATTTGTTTTATCACACACAAGGCAATTGTTGTTGTTATTGTAGTTGTTGCTGCTCTTAGCCCGGCCAGAGCCCTGTGCCTGGTCATGGCTGCTTTTTGGAGATCCCAAATCCGCAACTGCAACAACATGACTTTAAAAACGCATTTTGCGCACGCTGCCACCGACTTCGAGCGACCAGCAACAACAACAACAACAACCGCAACAGCGAATGCAACAGCAACCAGAACAAAATGTTGCTGACGCCAGGCAGCATGTTTTGCTATCTGCCATGCGTCGTCTGTTGCTGCTCCATGTTGCTAATGTGGCCGTTGCACGTGCTTGTTGTTGGCCAGCTTTTAAAAGTGCGCCCTGCGGCCGAACTTGGCTCGGCTGCCTTTTTGCATTTCAGCCCGTTCGCTTCCTTTTTGACCAATTCCCCAACTCACACACAAACATACGCTCTCTATGCATATTTATGTGGCCGACCAACTTGGCTTATTCATTTTCTGTTTTTGTTTCTGCTTCAGCCTTCATTTATCGCTTGCAAGCGCATACGCGTACACACGCTGCACATTTTTGTCTGTCTTCTAAGCTTAGCTTTAGTTCGTTTGTTGCAGTTGTTGTTGTTGTTGTCTACGCCATTTTTGAGTGCCATCATCAACCATTTGCCTGCCTGTTGGCCTGTTGGCCTGCCTTCTTGCTTGTCTGCCGCGGCTCGCTGGTCAGACCCGACCAACGCATAAAAAGCAATTTGCATGCCATTTGCAGCAGCGGCAGCAATAACAACAACAGCAATAATAATAGCAGCAGGTTTTTGTTGCCGCCTGTATGACTGAGATGGCGCTAAAAGTGTGCCAGCTGTCTCTGTCTGTCAACTTTTAGGGCTAGTAAGTAGTATTGCAATGCTTTAGGAAACTAAGACTCAGAAGTACAGTGAAAACTCTCCAAGATCACTAAAAGAAACTCTACAATTATTGAATTGTATTCCATTTAATTGAAATGAAGAGTTGAAGAGTTTTCACTGCTCTATATCAATATTTCTAATTTGCAGAACTTTTTTAATTGCAATTTTTAACAATAAGTGCACAGTAGTATTGCCTTAAAACATAGTCACACCTCTCTCTTATACCAGTATTGTGCACACTATTTATAAGAGAAATAAGTAACATAAATTTACCTTGGCGCTCTTCTCATATAACAATTTCTTTTTTTCTCTCTCTTCTCCTTTTGTCTCTGACAATCGCATCTCTTTGCAGGTACATGAATTATGCGATAATTTCTGTCATCGATATATCTCATGCTTAAAGGGTAAAATGCCAATAGATTTAGTGATTGACGAACGGGACACCACCAAACCACCAGAATTAGGTTCAGCAAATGGTGAAGGAAGAAGTAATGCCGATTCAACATCGCACACCGATGGAGCTAGTACACCAGACGTTGTGAGTACCCCCTTCGCGGGAGCACATGGTCCTATATTGGCGAGCTACAATGCGGTGGTGCACCCATGTTCGTAGTACGATAACGACCTTCTTGCAAAAACGAAGCGGGTGCTCACAATGCCCTGGGATTAAATGAATCAATAAAAACAATAACAATAATACAAAAAGCAAAAGAAATTGCATAAGAAATTAAGTAAAATTAATTAATTTTGCAAAAACCAAAACCATACAAACAAAATAATAACAAATGATAAAAAAACGCAGAAGAAGTTGTACGTAATTATGAACAAGAACAAGAACACACACACACATTGTAAATTAGTCAAGAGCGAAAATCCGCTAACTGAGAAAAATTACTAAATAATATTGCATTAAAAAGAGAGAGAGAGAGAGAGCAATCATAATTCTATCGTGCAGTTGCGAGCAGCAGCAAGCAGCAGAACAGAGAGAGAGAGAGCAGCAACAGCCACAGCAACAACAATTCGGTCGGTCAGGGCGCACAGTGAGCAGCAAAAAAAAAACCAAAACGAATACAACAACACACTCAACAAACTACACACACGCCAGGACTAGCGGAACAGCCGAACGTACAGCGACGAAGACGACTTCGACTCCGACTACGACTCCGACAACAACAACAACAACGATGACCACACAAAGTACGGCAACAATTGCAGCTGCGAAGCAACAACAATAATGCAGCTGCGACTGGAACTGCTACTGCGACTGCGACTGCGACTGGGACTACCCAAAGAGCTTCCAAATGCGACGACTGTGCATCTCTCGGCCTTCGACCACTTTGCTGCTGCTACTGGCCAACTGCCACAGCTACTGCTACTGCCACTGCTGCTGCTGCCTGCCTGCTGCCACACTTAGCCGTTAGAATATTGGTCTGTTTTGTACAGTTAAAAAAGCCATAAATTTAAGTTTGAAAAAAGAGAGTACAGCAAAGAAAAACTAAACTAAAAGAGCATTTGCGAAAAGTCATGTTATTTATTTTTGTGCTCGCCTCCAGAGTACAAAAATAAAATGCATACAACTTGTAAATTTCCGAATGAAAACCAAACAAAAACATAATTTGAACAAGATGAGAAGAAGAAGAATACAGCAACTGAACAACAATAATTAGTGCAAAATTGCTTAAATTGTAAAAAGTACCAACAACTAATGAGCAAAAAACCAATAAGAAAGCTAAAGAGAAAAACACACAAAAAGAAAATGAAAAGTTCCAGTACTTCGTTTTTGCAAGAGGCCCATATAGCTCGCCAATATAATTATTATTATTATTATTATGATTATTATTACAACATATAACAACTTTTTATTATTTTCACTACTTAACAAAAAAACAAAAAACCCTTTAAAAAAAAAAACAAAAAAATATTACGCAAGAAGTTTACTAACCCAAAACTAACCAATTTTAACAATTTACATATGCACATTACTCTATATAGAAACTATATATTATTATATATACACATTGATATATGACTTATATGAAGAAAAGCTAGCCTAATACGCATCTCGTATGCCGTTTCGTTGACTGTACCAAGCCCCACCACCACATACCACACACATACCTACTTACTTAGGGGTATGAGGTGGCGGCCGCCTTCTTTCGGGGTACAGTCAGCACAAATTCGCTAACTTTGGTTAGGTCGTCGCGTTTACGTTTTGAGTTTGTAAACTTGTAAATATTGTATCGTAAGCCCTCAAAAACCCAGAAACAGAAAAAAAGGAAGCCATAAACCATACAATAACAGACAGACAGACAGACAAACAAACACACAATTAGTCCATACCGCCCAGACCCCTGCTCCTTAGTATCCACCACCAAATAGTCTCTATTAGTTTTGTCTAATCAAGCAAAATCAAAACTCTGTGCCAATTTGTTTGTTTGGAACTTTGGAACAGCCCAACACACAAGACTTTGCACCGCTGGAAGAAACCTATGCCAGTTATCGCATCAAGCACGAGGCGGACTATTAGGCCAGTGTTGAGAAGAGCAGTGCTGCTTGTGCACAGTGTGGCAAAGCAAACTTGGCCGCATTTCTACAGCTAACCCAAAAACAAATCGAAAGACCCTGAAAATCGCGATTAACAGCAGTGTTCTATTTACCCAAAACGAAAAAATAACAAAAATAACAGAAACAGTGAACACAAGATCTATATTATAAACATAACTCTAGCATGTACTTAGTTGTAATATATATAGATATATATATATATATATATATATATAGAGTCTAGGCTGCTTACAAGTTGAGAAAGCTAAACGAAAACTAAAAGCAGGATTATTATTATTTTCAAGCTTTTCATCTTCATCAAGCAAGTATACGATTTTTCAAAACTAACAAAAAACATTACGTCCTTTTTCGATGTGTTTATCAATACTGAAGAGTTGAATAAATAAACACAGAAGAACTTGCCAAAAAGAGAAATAAAATATTAACAATATTAAAGCAAAATCAACAATTGTATTAGGTTTGTTTTTTTTTTTTTTTGTTGTTTCTTTAATTCGGAAATTGTTTTCTCGTGTGTGGTTTTTTTTCTCATCCTACTTACTTATTTCGATATGTTCTTAAAGAGAATCGAGTAAAGTGCAACGCATATACGTAAAGCAAAAGCATGAATTTGTTACAAAAACAAGAAAAACATTAAAATAAAAACAAAAAATAAAAAAAACATGAAACCAACCTGAGTTCAAATGCAAAGTATACGAATAAAACATAAAGTAAAACATATGTTTTCTATGGTTTAACAAACAAATACAACTTAAAGTTAATTTAATTAAACGAGAATCGGAACGCGCATATACGATGACATTTTAAATGAGCTAGGGACGTGCGGAACTATATATACGTAATGATTGAGATACTGTTTAGGTTACGCGAAGAGGACAACAACAGCAACAACAACAGAAACAACTTTAAGCATTTATTACGCAAAATTTTTAACTATAAATACGTAATATGCTAAATGCGAAACCAATACTATTATATAATTATTACTAAATATATACATTAAAGATAATTGTAATTATAAATTATGAAAGGAGAAGTACGTAGGAAACAGCGCAGCTTTTGGTGCTCAACCCAGCAGAGAAGGAAACGAAACTACTACCCCAACTACCAGTATATATACTAAAGTATATATGTACACATATACATATATACTTATAGACTAGGCCTAAGCTCTAACTCTAGCAGTCAGTCTGCGTAGCAAGCAACTTGTATACTATTGGGTCCTAGTGTGTCGAGGGCTAGATATGCTAAGCTAACCTAAAACCCAACTCTACCTTAAACTAACTTCTGCAGTTCAATTCGGAGCTCCATCCTAACGGTCTCTTCCCCCCACATCTTCATCTCTTTCTACTACTATCTCTGCTAAATCCTTCGACTACTTTTTCAGTTCGTGCGTACTAAAAAATGCAAGTTTCAAGTTTGTACTTAAGAGCGAATCGCTGCATCCTGCATTGCGGTCGTCTCGTCTATAAGCTATATGGGCAGTCATTTGTATACTTAGACTAAACAACTACCAGGTTTATTAGTGAATACAAAACCAAGTAAGAGGACAGATATACAGATATACTATATAGGAAGGAGAAGGGAAATATGTCAAAGCTTTTGTACTATTTTTTCAACTTTAAAATAAATTTAAAATACTTGCAGAGTTGAAATTTGCAAGACAAAAACAAAATAGTTGTTGTACTTTGTCTCATAAAAACGCTATAAGAAAACAAAACAAAAAAAAAACAAACAAAACAAAAAAATTGCTGTAATTATATGACGTAATTTTAGCATAAATCGATGGCCAACATTATTGAGTTGCTTATTAGTTAAAATGTGAAAAAAAACTGAAAAAAAAACTAAAAAAAAAAACGTTGCGAAATTGGCTGCAATTATTAGTTTCCTATAATTTTTGCCAGCTTTTGCAATTTTGTTGAACTTTTCTTTGATGATTTCTATTAGATATCTTATGTTTATTATTATTTTTTGTATGAAATGTTTTGCTAACTAAGTTTTAATGCTAGCTGAGCGAAATTTTATTGTTGTATTGTAAAAAACAAAAAAAAAAAAAACTAAATAGAAAACTGAAACTGAAATACGTAATTGCTTTAGGTGATATTTTATAAAAATATAACAAAAGAAACAAAACAAGAAATGAAAACATATACGTAAAATATGCGAGAATATATTTTAAAAACAATTGATATGCTTTTTGCTTTCATTTTTAAAAAATATAGTATATCTAAAAATATACATATGTATACATAAAACATTTGGTTCTTTGTCTTCGCGCGTACATTTTTTTATTATTGTTTAACAAGGCAAATTTTATTTAGTTTTTAGCAAAATTGTAAAATGAAAATGAAATAAGATGAAACGTAAATTATGGTAATTGAGGACGAGATGAAGAAGAAGAAAACGCAATCAAAAAATCCAACAACCAGCAACTTCTATACGATATACGAATACATTTTAATGTAATATTTTTAATTATTTATATGTATACTAATAATATAATTAAAAGAAAAGAAAAACGAAACAAAACAAAATGAAACACAAATTAAGAGGAAGAAGAAACTACAGAGTAACGTTTAAAGAGTTAGCCAATAAATATATGAAAAAATATATTTGAAAAGTATGACAAATGAATTTTGTTCTTATTGTTAGTTGATAAGAGTTCCCAATTTTGCCCTAGAAAGAAGCCGATTTTGCTGAATGGACTGATGATGGCAACCCAGGTTCCAAGAAATTATCTAACTTGACATTATCGAGCAGCCGAAACGGATAACAACTACGGTTATGAAATGACTTTCGAAGAAATATATTTGGATGCTGGAAACCTATGCTTATTTAGAAGCAGATGACAACCCTACAGCTCTACGATAAAACTGAAAGCGGCAGTTTAAATGTTTCTCTGATTTGTAGCTCATAAGAAATCAGGTTAGCTTAGCAAGAATCACAAAACTGATGAGAAATCCTGTTATGAAATGA